ATCAAATTCAATAGTTCTCACAAAATTCACGGAATTATGCCAGTATCAAATAACATCGAATTCACGCCGTATATATATATATATATATATATATATATATATATATATAACCTTGTAGTCAAAGTATTGACAAACATGAAAATATCAGAAGGTGTTTGTGGGAATTTTAGAAATTTCACTGATTGAAATCATAAGTCAATTGATGCTAGACCATCATGGAAAATCTGGAAGCACTGGATGGCCGAATCGTCCTAGTATGGGACTCCTCAGCAATGCGCATCCACGATCCCGCCTCGCAGGATCCGAACCCAGGACCTATCAGTCTCTCGCCAAGCGCTTAACCATCTAGACCACTGGGCTGGCATCCGACAGTGTTAATGTCTAACTTCAACCAATCCACGAAGTTGGGCCACCGTATACCATTGTCTTCAGTGAGCTGATATCTCACAACAGACCTGGTTGAACTCCACTAGTCACTACGTCTCACTAGAACTCCAGGAGTATCTCTTGAAGTCAGTCACCAGTGAGCAGATGATTATTATCAGAATGGGTTTTGTCGAGATTTTAGAAATTTCACAGAAAATAGTCGTATCGCCACGTTTCTTGCATAATAACCCGGAAATAGAACATTTTCATATAATCACATACAGTGTCATAGAACATCGCAATAATTAGCTCATTAATGAACTCAATCAGCGATTGTTTTACAATCACAAGTTTGTTCTGTTGACATTATTTAATAATACACATTCAACCTACTTAATACAAAATGATCAGTAGTATATTAATATGCATAATAAAACGTGCTTACAGAAAAAAATCACTTTTATAATGAAAATCGGTGTGTGTGTGTGTGTTTTTTATTGTCACACCACTAAAGGCATAATTATCAATTACAATTCTTATATTTAAACGACTTATAATAATAACAATCTAGTTGTAGATTGTTTTTATTCATCTCATAATGAATAGAGTGACAAAATGATTTATACCATTCTGAGGATGAATATTCTAGACACTTTTTTTCTAATAAAAGGAGTTCTGTAAGTATAAACTTAATCAAATTTCGGTAGAAAGTTTCTATTGTAAGGCATTAAGCCCTTAAGAACAAAAAAAGTCACATTCGATGAATGAAGGAATGAATGAATGAATGAATGAATGAATAAATCAACAACAACTACCAAAAAGAACAAATAGCCCTTAGGGTAAAGAATTTTTCTTATTGAATAACTATTGGGAAATTATCTTAGTAAAAAAATAATGCTTTCTTAAAGGTATATATTGAGACATTTATTGGGTAGTCCAATGAATGATTAGTTCTTTTGTGTTGTTGTTGTTGTTGTTGTTGTTGTTGTTGTTGTTAAATAATCGAACTAATATGAAATGAGATCATGAATCGATTGATAATGTCCAGTGCTTCTAGGTTTTCAATAGTGATCTAACATCAATCAATTCATGATCTCAATCAAAAACTTAATAATCTCTATAACTGTATACTGATAGTATGAAATGATCATGAATATGTTGTGTACTGTAAAATATTCAACGTATACTATAAATGATTTGCATAGTTTTAATCATGGAATGATTTCATTTAGACAATTATTGAAAGTCAAGAAGCTTTGAATAGTTATTTCATTCTAGTATTCAATTCTTTATGAGATCAGTTCCCTGTAATGGGATTGAGGATACATATTGGTGAGTAGTGTAATATTCGAGAAAGATAGCTATCTTCACAACACCTTGTACTGATATAAATTAATTCATTGTTTACATTTTCATAATGAAGCCGAGCTACACCACCTAATAACCTTTAAACCTTCATTTATTTAATCAATTAAAAGAAAGGAAAGATAGAAAAATGAGTACCAATTTTTTTAATGAGGACAAAGAAAATGGATTTTAGGATCCTAAAATTATAGCTGATCTCAGTTTATGATGAACATCTAAATCCGAACCCTAGATTTCAACATCAATTTCCAACCTTGTTTTGACCAATATATGAAGAGGCTTAGACATCAACCATTGACTTAGGCTATATAGTTCATTTTTGTTATAGACAAACTAATATTTACATTATTCTAACAAAGCTTTATGATGATTAATTAGTAAACACTATGTGTTATTGAATAAGACTGTTTTATGATCAAAATCATGTATTGATACATAATTAAATAAACAATCACTCCATATAGGTTTTCTTGCTTGATAAAAATACATAAGGATTTGTGACATAACATCAACTAATAATCATAATTATCAAATTTCCATATTGGTGCCCTCTTATTACATGAATCCGAAAAACATTCTTTCTCAATTAAGCTTAATTGTTAAAATCCTAACTAATTAATCATTCAGGGTGAAAGAAAGCATTCCTCTAATCATTTGAGTAAAAAATATAAGCTTCGATCAAGATCCATTTGATAATTTAACAACGTCATATTAATGATTGATCACAGTGATTATTTGGTGTGTACGTTATATACGGACAGATATAAGTAGTATGTGTCAGGGATCGGAAATAGAATTATTACTGACAAAAGTGTAGAATGAAATGAAGAGAAAAAAAGTAAAAGCAATTAGAATAGCAACAAGAATGGAAGAACAACCGAGTTTGCAGGTGACAAGTCAAAGAGGATGATCAAATGGTGTATTCGCTGTGTTGTTTTCATATTTTAAAATTACAGAGTATAATTTTTCAGAATGCAATGAATTAGTTTACTCCAAAAGAGTCTCCATTCGTCTCGATTATATATAATAATACACTACCTATGTGTTCTCTATAAAATTGAGATTACACTGAAACTAAGTGAGAATATAAAATAGTGCTTTACTAAAGTATTTATAATGTTAAGACATATTATGGTCTGTGCTACTTATGTCTACAGACACATGTAGTATATAACACCGATCAGAAATGGAATACCTGGCAGCAGAAATTTGAGAAGATCGAATATAAGAGAACAAAAGCGGGAAACATAAAGTAATTAAGAATTGGAAGAATCATGAAAGACAATTGACGGAAGATTTGCAAATGACATATTTCATGTATGGTTTTCACATTTTACGGAAGAACTTACATTTAATCTTCAATCAATTAAGAACAAGACTTTTTTAGTTGATCTTATCCCTACAATTTAGATTTTTAAAAAAACCATTATTTGGTGTAAAAATGTGATTCGAATGAAGGATTTTCTCGACATATGTTTGTTAATATCCTGAATGGATTACCTCAAGATCACTTTGAATGCAAGTTCTAGTAACGTCAGATTATGGATACTATTGGAATATAAAACGTGTAGTTTTTTTCTGTTTGGGACTCATTAGTTGGATTTACCTACATTCCTATATGAACATTGAAATGAAGGTGAATTCAACTGATGAATCCTAAACAGGATGAAATGTGCATTCTTGATTCCACAGCTAGTCACGATTCAAATTTACTGGAAAGGATACATGTATTTTCTTTCTTTTTTTTACCAGTATTACACATTTTTAGTAACTAGGCATTTCTCATATCAATTTAAAATGTGAACTTAGACAAATGGATGAGTATTGGATTTTGAAAACATTTCATAATATCATTATATATACAATAAAAAGGATTGCTATATCTAACATTGTAATTATGTCAGTAATCTCTAATAAACAATTTTAAACAAAACGTTTCTTTGTAACTAATTCAAAATGGAGACAGAGTATAGTAATGTTGATTTGAAAAGAAAATCAGTTACCATGATAAAGATTTTACTTATTTTGAACTAGCCAAAAGTTAAAGAAATATTGAAGATAATAGAGTATTGTACAATCGTTTCACTGTGGTACGTGATATCCCAACGGGGGGGGGGTGAAACTACGACATATTTTAAAATCAATTATAAAACATTTAGATCACATTAGTATTAATCATCTATACTTTTAAGTCATTCATATTTCAGTCTTACAGTTACCTAATCTTGATTACATCGTGACTGCCTAACTTTTGTAATATAGAAATAATAACCAATAATCTAGTTACATTAGTGAATAACGAATCAAAATAGCCATTCTCTTAGCCATAAGTTTATAAACTTCACAATGACTACTTTTAGTCGTCAACTGTATATTCCTTCCACCCTCCCTCCCAATTATACAGATAAAATGCGGTTCATTGTCAAATGATTTATCGATCATTTTAAATATTCAATTCAACAAGAAAATATTTTGAAACTTGTAATTTCATTTTTTTTAATTAAAAAAAGGGGAAATATTTTTTAATTGCCTAATATGTCAATCATAATAATTTTTAATAACAGATCTATTTTAATAATTGAGGCATTAATTAGTCTTTTCTCAAAAAAAGGGGGGGGTAAATGCGTTGAAACAGTACATTTATTTAAAATATTCCCTTTATTATTTTTTTTTAGTATGTGGGGTAAATTGAGGGAAAAAACCCCCGGAGTAATGGAAAAATAAAAATGTAAATACAACCCCTTTAATAAACTATAAGTTGTGTTCGTTACAGATTGATCTCAGTAGTGGTGGTATCATTTAGTACGAGGACAAAAGCAACATATCGTTATAGATTAGGATTTACTTATTATATGCATATCAACAATCCAATTAAGGGTTAAACTAAAAATTATCTATTATTCATGGTAATCATTCATCTGTATATCTCTTTATCAGTATGTTAAGCTCAGTGGATCATTGTTTTTCACTAGAAGAATTTACAATTCTTGCCAAAAAACCTGTTATCAGTATGAACTTTAATAGTATTGAGAGAGGTAATTGATGTAGAACTTTTAATTTTAAGGCAGTTCCCATCATAAATTGACCTTATTTCATAGAACACATTTTTAACACGGTTGTCATAGAAAATATTGTTTTATTATTTGATTCATGTTTGAAATGTATATATGGCACTAAGTAATGAGCGATTACTTAAATCCATCTATTTTAGTAGTATACTTATCAAATGTAAGAAAAATTCTGGCGCATAAGATAAATAAATTACTCACCGAAATGTATGTAACTCTGCAAACTAATTTAACTTTAAATTGTACCAATAAGTTCACTTTGATTGAATCCAATTTTTATGAATGAAAAAAAATAATAATAATCCACTATACTTTTTGTTCAATAAATTAGTATTTAATTGACTGTGTTTGGGTGTTAAATTAAATTCCTTTATAAAAGTATAAACAAATCACCATTCTCATGTATCATGGATAACTGATTCCAAAGAAAAATAGTGTTGATGTGTATATCCTTCCATAAATGGTTCATTTCATAATCAAATACACTGACAATTATGATGAATGAGTTCAAAATATACACCAATGTTTATCTATTTAGTTATTTATATTTTTATTTTAAAGAAAAAAAAACCAAAGAACGAGGTGTATTACATGGTACATAATTTTCTCAATTATTTTGCCCAATACACGAAAACTAATAATAATAACAATGGCAATAGTATTAACACAAACGACCGCACATAAATTTTTTTTGTACGCATTTCATATCATTTTCCACTAATTAGCCAATCATCAATCGACAAAATGTTTTGTCTAGCCAATAGATTTGTCTGAGTTAATCTCATTGGTTGATTAAAATGACAAAAAATATATATATACACATATTGAAATCATGAGTCAGTTGAAGCTAGACCACCATAAAAAACCTGGAACTACTGTGCTTCAAGGTTTTCCATGATGGTCTAGCTTCAACTGACTCATGATTTCAATCTGTGAAATTTCTAAAATCTCCACAAACCCCTTCTGATATAAACATATAACAAAATTGACTTTTTTTACTGTTGAGTAATTGAAGAGAAAAACGAAAGAGAACATTTGTCATTCATGTATACGATAGACTAAACTTTGTTGTTGTTAGTGTCAATCTTATGATACTGTTTAACACAGATTGAAAGTAGCTGTAATACTATTGAATATTATGAAGTTCTGGAGAGGTGTTGTAAAACCACAATTCATGAAGTTTTGAAATAGCCCATCCACAACCACATGAATAGTCAAATCCATGACTTTTGATTCACATAATTAAATTATTGGTTAATTAGAACACTCAGCATTAGACACGTAGGTTGAGAAATGGATATTTATCATGTAGAACAACAGATTAACGGTAATTTATTTTCCTTCAGTAATGTAATATTCAATAAATCATCACAAACAGTTATCTTCAACATGTTTCCTACTAAACAGAATAAGTAGTTAATAGTTAAAAGAAATAATTAACAGTTAAGACGAACTAAATTGTGCTTTTTCATGAGCTTTAAAAATTCTTGGTCAAACATAATGTAACGTGGTGTGTATATACTACTGATAATTTACAAACTGAACTGAAATATTTGTTTATTACTAACCTTGTTTTGATAAATTCTCCAAGTGGCGATATTTTTTTATAATGAAAATTTTGTAAATTCTGTTATGCAATCAAAAATACAGACTTGTAAAACAAAAGTACATTCAATCAAATATTTTGAAGATTTGTATTAAAATCATCTACCGATCTGAGTTTGATCACTGTTGAAAACCTGAAAGCACTGAAAAGTCACTTCCTTCTAATACAAGAATCTTTAGCAGTGTGCACCCATGAGCCCACGAACTGGAGTCGTACCCAAGACCTCCTCTTTGGCGCACAATGGCTTAACCTCTAGACACTAAGTCATAATTCGACTGTGTTAATGCCTAACCTCAATCCATCCACAATATCCACATAATAATCTCCCATAATCTTCGGTGGGTAACGCTTCACACCCAATGTAGTTTAGCTCCATTGGTCATGGATTCTCACTAGAACTATGAAATATTCCTCTCAAAGCGAGAGGCCTAACTTGAATTGTTTCACGATTTCAGTGAAATTCAAAATCTACACAATCCCATACTGACAATTTTGAAGATTATTCACCTGAAACCATATTTAGTTTTCATGTTTAGTGCTCGTTAGTACTCCGCAAAAAAATCTGCTACACCTACATTTCGTATTGATTGGCACCAGTCTTCAGGTTGAGTGCCTATAATACTAAAACAACTAGCATTCTTAGATGGAATTTATATCTAGATCACACAGTTTAACACTTTGAGCTGTGGGGGTACGCTACTTATGTCTGTCGACATAAGTAGTATAGAACATCAATCGAAAGTGAAAAACCTGGAAGCAGAAGACTGAGAAGATCGAGTCAAAGAGATTAAAGGAGAAAACAGAGAGCAATTTTGGATCGGAAGAATCATAAAAAATATGAAGGACAATTGAATGTCCCACCTGTGTTCCCGTTAATTACAGAGCTATCAAAATTGTGACGCAGCTCCCATAAAACTGGGGTGTATTTACAATCGATCGATTATTTGATAAAAATAATCAATATCATATCTATCTAACTTATTTATACTGTTCGAATCCTATCGATCAAGTCTGAAGTTAGAACTTAATTATGCACACTATTGTTCAGTTTGTGAAACATAATTAACTGATAGTAACAAATTTTTTTCTTTTTTTTCTGAGGAAAAGATGGGTAGGGATGGATTTTTTTTAAAAATGCAACAAATTAATACTATTTAAACTTTAAATTATTACTTATTTTCCTGTAAAATGTAAAATAATAAGATGCTTAACTGTAATATATCTCAACTTACTAACCTTAATGATGTATGTTGTAAAGAATAATGTGTATGTACATCAACATTGAAAATATTTCAATGTCAAGAATTTTCTATGGATTAATTAGTTACTTGTTTATCAGAATGTTAACTATACTTGGCTTAATTCAGTTTATAAGTACAAGAGTTAGTTATAATATCTGAGTGCCAAAACCGAAGTAGGATTGTCAGAGGGGGAGGATGGAGTGTAGAAAGGCAGTTTTAATGTAGGACTTAGTGGTGAATAGACAGATTTTTACAGTGCTATTAATGGTGAAAAACAGCCGATGAGTTAATTCTTAACAGCAAAATTCTATGAGTAGTTGTTGGGAGGGAACCCAGGGTATTCCTCAAATAAAAGTTCAGAGAGGCCCTGAGAACATTGTAAAACATCTTATTCAATCAGTATTCAATAGACGTTTCTCAGGAACGACTGGGAAGCGAAAAGTCATGTGTCACATTTTCGATTGGATGATTAACCACTACTGCTACTATTGTGGTGCCTGCTACTTATGTTGATATAAGTAGTATATGACGCGAGTCAGGAATGTAATGTCTGGCGGCAGAAGATTGGGAAGATCAAGAAAGGAAGAGCGGGAATAGAAAGCAATTAGTATGGAAATGCAAGAACAATGAATTTCGAGACAATTATTGGAAATTCTGCAAATTAAGTATTATAGTATGGTTTTTAAATTTTACCAATTAACTCTGTAATTTTGAGCTAAGTAGAATTCAGTTGTGAGTGGTAAATGATGCTACTTGATCACCCAAACTGAAGTAAGCGAAGTGAAGTTTGAACCCATGGCTTAAAATTAATCAGAAGATGTAAAGACAGAACAGGAAGTGAGTAGCAAAAGTTTGAATAGAAGACAAAAATGTTTATAACACCTTCGGACAGAAAATTCATAAATCAATTAATTGGACAAATATTTTGTCAGTATAAGAAACTTTTAGTGATTGACGAGTTCCATAGTTTAAGCCAAGGACTGAGATTAGTTAGACAGCTACTGAAAGCTAGTAAACACTGAAAAGCTGCTTCTCCTTAGTATGAAACAAATCAGCAATGCTGATCCACAACCTTGCCTTAAATTGAACCCGGAACCTTCAGGTTTTGTGATCAGTCTTTAAACTCCAAACTATTTAGTCCCCATCCGACGATTCGCAATTCTAACTTCATCCAATTCGCAACGATCATGCAATATCATTGATGGATGATCACCTCATTTTTGACATGGTTAAGATCCGCTTATCATTATTATGATAGATGTAAACCACTGATGAGTCCCGTACGTGAATGAAACAGTTATCCAGTGCTTTCTAAATTTCAATGGTTCTTTACCCAAGGTCAGTTTGGGATGTAAACTGTGAAGTATTTTTATTTGTATCCTTATAGGATTATGGGCAACATGTCAGTTACAAAATAATTTACAAATTAGACCATTTTTATCTATACAACCATTGGGAATTGATGAATACTAGGTAACTGTTTTGTCCTATTATGATACTCTAAGGTGGTGTTCAATATGATGCAGTTGCAGACCTAAATTAGGCACTTCAAGTTATAAGAACAGTACGCTGCTTCCAAAGAGCAAAATCTAATAGTTCAAGTTTTATAATCGGTGAGAGCAACGCTAAAGTAATCTCAAGAATGCTCACCTACTCACTAAAGCTAAATGGGGGTTATCTATTAATGTGGAGAATTAGGATTAAGATTTATAGTTGATGATTAGGCATAAGAATTAGATTTAAGATTTTCATCACGAACTGACATCAATTAAAACTCCAAAACCTTATTTAACTAAACGAGTGAATGAATTTCACATCAAAATCCAAGACCTTTTATCCTCGATTTATAATCTCAATGAATTTTCTTTATCATTTTACTATCACTCTCTATATTCTCATACTCAACATAGTTGAACGTTTTAATCAATTAACTGGAATTGATACCCAAATTAATTCAATCCCAATTTTACTGTTATCATTTAGAATGAAAGATTCATTGAGATTATTCAATTTTATTTGTACTACATTATTACCACTAAAAAACTTATCACGAAATTTCACAGGTTGAAATCATGAATCAGTTGAAGCTAGACCACCATGGACAACCTGGAAGCACTGGATAGTCGTTTCGTCCTAGTATGGGACTCCTCAGCAGTGCGCATCCAATTGACTCATGATTTCAACCTGTGAAATTTCTAAAACTCTCCACAAAAAAAAACCATTCTGATAATTATCATGAAATGATTTAGATTTTTTTGTAGAAAAATGGAAAATCAATAAATTGATTTATTAAATAAATATTTTTTTTATTGAAGAAAAGAATGACTTCCTCTTTTTTATGAATTAAAAACAAATAAATATTTATTAAATTGTTTGTTGTTTATAAGATTGTTTCATCTGATTGTTCATATGCATGTACGCCTACTTGTGTGTGTGTGTGTTTGTGTATGTGTGTGAATACTAGATGGAGTGAGATGAGGTCAAATCTTAAATGCTGTTTGTCTATTAAATACACTACGTAAAAGAAACAGGTTGTTACTAACGCCACATTTGTGTGAACAAACTAGAAATCGTAATTTTACAGTTTACTATTGACACAACGATGCATTCACACACAAGCATACGTACATATTTATGTCCATATATATATACTCATTCCTTCTATTTGTATAGTATATCACGAGTCAACTAAATGCTAAACGATTCGTAATAGTTATTGGTAGAAATGCTAACATTTTCGATGACAATCTGTAATTAAATTAGTAGCTATAGATATTCTATTTTCCGGT